CAGATATAAATTACAATGGCAGCTCTAGGACAAAGTATGCAGGAGGAGAAGCATGGCAAAGTTGAGATGACTTGTATGGGAAACGAATCACAATAGTGTGCATTTGAGATACAGCTTGACTTTAACACAATTCTGAATCTATGTTTTTCAAAAGTCTCAATACCTTTTAAATTATACTTTCCTTTTTCATAAATCTGGTTTGGATGTTGTTAGGTAACATATTTTATGTGCTTTGTACATGAACTTTAAGATAATGTACTCAGTGAAATCATTAAGCTTCAGTAGATTCAGCTCTATAAATGTTGGGTTTGTCTGATCTGTGAATCCAGCTCCAGTGTGAACTCTACCAGCTGTTTTCTGTAAGAGAAAGATTGAATTTATAAATGTTTTACAAGCATTACCCCACACCTCCACACAATACATCATATATGGTTCAACCAGTGAGTTCCACAGAATATACAAATCATTTTTATTAAATATATCCTTTACCCTGTTTATCACAGAAATAGTTTTAGATATTTTAACTTTTTATATAATGTATGTAAGATTTCCAGTAGAAATGTTCATCAGTCAGGATGAAAGTATCAGAAGAAACTTGAAGGTGAATGAACCAGTGTTAAACTGCTCAGTTTGGAGTTGTGCAGCTCCTGTTAGCAGCTGTGTGATGGTGCACATGTTGTGTTGTTGTCCCAGGCTGAGCCGGTCATCGTGGACCTGCGGGACCTGTTCCAGCTCATTTATGAGATCAAGCAGAGAGAGGAGCTGGAGAAGAAGGCCCAGAAAGACAAGCAGTGTGAGCAGGCCGTCTACCAGGTACATCTACCAACTCTCCCTGTTTTTCTGCTCTGTAACCATCAGCCACAGGTGAGTGGAGTTTATCGTAGGAGTGGAATCAAAGAACAAAGTTCCACTTATAGGTTTCATCACCGTCTCCCTCTCTGATGTTCTGCCTTCTTCACACTTCCTGTTTCATTTCTTCATGTTCATCTTTGTCTCTCTGATGATGGGAAAATGATGGGAAGTCTTTTCTTTCCTCCTCCTCTCCCTGGCTCTAACTGTCTCTTCCCTTTCTTCTGTCTCCTCCGCTCTCACCCCTGTTTGATTTCTCCCCCTGCTTCCTGTCGGCACTGGTCTGCAGACCATCCTGGAGGAGGACCTGGAGGACCCAGTGTACCAGGTAACTCCCTGAGCTCCCTGCTGTCAGCTGCCTGCTCCTCTCTGTGTGCACTGTGGGGAGACAGTTTGTGTAGAGTGTGGAAGTTGTGCGTTGTGTGCACGCTGTAGGTGTGTTTGAACACTCAGTCAGTGCATGTCTGACCTGAAACTTCCTGACTGCTGTAGTTCTCCTCCACGCAGGGGCGGTTCTAGGGGCAGGGCCACAGTGGCATTGGCCCCAGCTGAAATCTGATTGGCCCCCTGAAGTGCCCCTGTCCTGTCACTCACCTGTCCTTTACCTGGGAGTAATGATGGTGGATGCAGTTCTGTGTTCAAACACTAGTGGTGCTAATGAGTCAAATAGTAAAGTCCAGAATGAATCAAGCTGACAGAATTCTTCTTCTCTTCTTAAAATGTCAACAATCCTGCAAAAAAGTATTTCAGCTGACAAATGACGGCTGGATTTTCTCATATGTTGTGTTTGAAAATATTTATCTATGTTCAGTAAAACATATGAAAAACTGGTGAGGAGAATTTACTGTGCAAGATTTTTGGTACCTATCTAYAAACTCTTTAAAAGCCATCTATAAGGGAGGCTTATTGTAAAGTGGTACCTTTTTAAAAAAAATGACATTACAAGTGTTTGAAGTGTAAAATGTATACACTGGGAATTTGTGTGAAAGGATGTTGAACAAAGACTTGGCACCTCTATGAATATCGTGGCCCCTTGATGGCCCCTGACTCAGAAAATCCTAGATCCACCACTGCCTCCACGTGTCTCTGATCTGTTCTTTCACTGTTTTTATTGACGATGCTGTTTTACTAATCCTCTCTGAATTTTCACCACTTTTCTCTCAATTTCTCCATGATCCTGTTTTCCTCCCACTTCCTCTTGTGTTTCCTCTGCGGCCGTAGTACATTGTGTTTGAGGCGGGGCACGAACCCATCCTCGACCAATCAGAAGAGAGCATTTATCAGGTACTCACAAGCTCATCGTGTTTGCTTGTAGCTTTAAACAATAGTTACAACAGTGTTCCATTATTGTTCCACCTAATGCAATGAATGCATCACTGCCAGGACGGTAAACTCATTTAGGTTTTTACACATGAACTGAGGAAGTGAAAATTGTCAAAATGTGCAGAAATCTAACAGCCAACACTTTCCAGAAGGCACATTCAGCTGAAGCTCACTAGTCCAGGAAAATAACTGTGTTTCCATCAAGGCTTTTTGATGCGCATTTAGAAGTATTGCATTAAAAATGCGAAGAAAAAAAAAGTCGGATGGAAACAGCGAAATTCAAAAAAAATCCTCAATTCGCTAAAAAGTTTTTACGTTCGCTTGAGGTGGCTTTTGGATGATTCGCAAAGTAGTTAATGCACAAAACGGGAGATGGAAACATGTTTGCTGAATAAATTCTGAGGTAACGCATATTTACCTCATGTGACGTTCAGCTGTTTCCGCTTTCCTGCCTCGTCCCGGCGTAGTTGCACGTGACTTTCTGCTGCGTAGTTTAACATTGCGTTTATTTCCCTACGTCTCCTGGCAGCATTAAACATAGCCTGTACTAGCTGAATAGATAGAATAATTACAACTTGCCCAATAGGCATTCATGAAAAAAGTCACTCCATTGTCCAAAGATGATTAGCCTCTGCTAGTTAGCAAGTTTCACTTCCTGTTTACTACCGCAAAGCTTGTCGCCGACGTCTGACGTAATCACGCGTTGCGTAACCTCAGACGTAATCACGTGTTGCGTAGCCTCGTCTGATGTAACCACGCATTGCGTAGCCTCGTCTGATGTAATCACGCGTTGTGTAGCCTCGTTTGACGCAATCACACATTGCGTAGCCTCGTCTGATGTAATCACGTGTTGTGTAGCCTCGTTTGACGCAATCACACATTGCGTAGCCTCGTCTGATGTAATCACGTGTTGTGTAGCCTCGTTTGACGCAATCACACATTGCGTAGCCTCGTCTGACATAATCATGTGTTGCGTAGCCTCGTCTGATGTAATCACGCGTTGTGTAGCCTCGTTTGACGCAATCACACATTGCGTAGCCTCGTCTGACATAATCATGTGTTGCGTAGCCTCGTCTGATGTAATCACGAGTTGTGTAGTCTCGTCTGAAGTAATCACGCGTTGCGTAGCCTCGTTTGACGCAATCACACATTGCGTAGCCTCGTCTGATGTAATCATGTGTTGCGTAGCCTCGTCTGATGTAATCACGAGTTGTGTAGTCTCGTCTGAAGTAATCACGCGTTGCGTAGCCTCGTCTGACGTAACCACGCGTTGCGTAACCTCGTCTGACGTAACCACGCATTGCGTAGGCTCGTCTGACGTAACCACGCGTTGCGTAGTCTTGTCTGACATAACTACGCGTTGTGTAGCCTCGTCTGATGTAACCACACATTGCGTAGCCTCGTCTGACATAATCATGTGTTGCGTAGCCTCGTCTGATGTAATCACGAGTTGTGTAGTCTCGTCTGAAGTAATCACGCGTTGCGTAGCCTCGTCTGACGTAA